TATAAAATAATTTAAATCCTTGCTTGAATCAAAAACAATCTTGGAATAATCATTTAATATTTTAATACTATTACAGAGTACTCAATGTAAAATAATTAGTAGAAATCATCGATATCGTATATGAAAATTACACTTTACAGAATTCGATTATCGAAAACAACTTAATATCATATTCGAAAACCGAATTCTTTTAAAAATTGATTTTTCATTTTTCTCAATATCGAAAGCACTTAACATTAATAAAATAAGAATTTACTCAGAAAAAATCTAACCTGATTGTTGAATTCGAGTTTTAAAATTCGGGACGTTACAAAAATCAAATCTCCCGCCACCGCAAGCTCCGCCAGTGACGGTGGGGAAATCATCGATAATGTAACTACTAGATGGGTCTTGGGGGTAAACAACAGCCTGTAACGCCATTCCTCAACCGATTCCAAATATTATTTGTGGAATAATATCCAATCACGTGATTTGTAATAAAAATCCAACGTTGAGTCTGAATTGACCTTTTGATTGATAAATCTTAAAATGAAAATCTCACAAATATATAAATTTACCAAGTGAAAGGTTATCATCTACTCTTGATCTTTTCAGTACAGAGATCCAATATTGCCGAGAAGTTTACCAGAAATCCTTACATGAACATGAGCCAGATAGGAAATGGTGGAATCGTTGTCCGTCTCTTACGATAAGATGCCTGCATGTAACCTTCGAGGTAAACTTCAAAAAGGAGTGACAATCACCACAAGTTTGGAGGTTCTTTATGATTGTAAGTGTGGTTCCCGGCTCGGTACCGATAAGTCCCCAAACGACGGCCAATCTCTCACTACGAACCATGACGGACTCCTCTTTTTCTTCGTTTTCCAAGTCATGAGCCACCATATCTATTTCAGCAATATATCCAGCTTCTTTAAGTTTTGTATTAAGCTCATTCAACTTTTTATAGATATCAAAGGACCGATGATGTGATCTGTCTCCAGCCATGAAAACATTTATCGCGCCATTGATCTCGATTTGGCTCCAACCGGGTTCTTTAACCAATCCTTTGTTTCTCATCATGCTTCTCGTTATGGCTGCTTCCTTCCACTTACCACCAGATGTATATATATTAGCCGTCAAAACGTAACTGCTGGTGTTTCCGGGATTTAAATCTAACAATTTCTTGGCTACGTATTCTCCGAGTTCGATATTACTATGTTTCCTACATGCACTAAGCAATGGAACCCAAACTTTAGCTTGTACTTGCAAAGGCATCTTTTGGATGGTTTTCAAAGCCAGTTCGAAGTGACCAGCTCTACCAAGAAGATCGACCAAGCAAGTATAGTGCTCTATACGGGGCTCTATTCCGTAATCTGTTTTCATGCTTTTAAAGTACTTCAATCCATCCTCTACCAATCCTGAATGACTGCAAGCCAATAATACGCTAGTGAAAACAACAGGATCTATGTTGCAAGATTTAGTTATCCGCATCTGATGAAACAATTTCAGAGCCTCGTTACCCATTCCGTGAATTGCGTAACCGTTATCATGGAACTCCAAACAGCTATGTCTTTATGTAACACACCTGCAAATACATCTTCTGCCTTGTCTATCCTCCCACATTTACAGTACATGTGAATCAATGAGGTCTGAACCTGCCGACTTGACGCCAACCCATTCGATTCCACGTAACGCTTAATCTCATTCCCAATGCTTAGTGACCCCAAATCAGCACAAGCAGAGAGTATGCTGGCAATGGTAGCTTCATTCGGTTTAAGATCGGTTCTTAGTAAACCCTTGAATAGATCCAATGCTTCAGCAGGGTAACCATGATGAGTATACGCAGCAATCATCGATGTCCACAAGAAGATACATTTCTCATCTATAATTTCGAATACTTGTCGAGCCGAAACGATGTCACCACACTTTGCATACATGTTAAGAACCAAGTTGCCGATCGGAGCTTCACCATCGTATCCACTTTTAAGAACAAGGGAATGAACTGATGATGCCAATAGCGAATTCCCTGATTCTACGCAACCTGAAATGACCTGAACAAACAGCACCATATCCGGACTAACACACCCCATTTGCCTCATTGTATTAAAGAGATTGAATGCTTCCCCAACGTTCCCAACATTTACATAGCCACCAATTATAGTAGTCCATGAAAGGATCGATCTTTCATCCATGGTATCGAAAACGGAACGAGCACCAGCAATTAAACCAAATTTAATATACATATTCACAACTGAATTCGCCAAAGGTATCTCGCTATGTAGCAATCCGAGTTTAAGCACGCAACAGTGCACTGATAATCCTAGTCGACGATCGGTGCAAGCTGCTATAACACTAATAAAAGTGGAAGCACTCAACTCAAAACCAATGAACCACATTTTTTTCAACAAGCTCATAGCTTCCATCACACGGGAACAACGACAGTAAGAAGAAATCATGGTGTTCCAACAGACAACATTTCTAATAGCCATTTCGTCGAACACAGTCCGGGCAGAATCCAAATCAGAGCATTTCGAATACATATCAATAATAGATGTTTGTACGAAGATGTCTTGTTGAAACCCGAGCTGGAGAACATGGGCATGGAGCTTTGTTCCGTCACGAAGACAAGTAAGGGCAGCGCAGGCTTTGAATAGTAATGGGAAAGTAAAGCTGTTGCCATGAACGTGAGTGTTTCGTAACATTGAAGAGTAGATTTTGAGGGTATCAGCGAAATCGCCATGGTTGGTTGAGTTTCTGATTTTTAAATTCAACAGATAAAGAGGGTGCTTCTTTGAAGTTATTGAATTCAATAGAAACTGTCGCATTTGCAAGTTCCAAACATTTGGTTTCTTTTTCTTTTTTAATTCATTCTTTGGTTTTTAGGACAAGAATAGCAAATTAGAGTATTTGAGCTTCAAAAATAGAATGACACAATAGATAGATACTTACCCAGAATAGAGGAAGGATGTACGAATAAATCAATTTTATTTACCACACATTAATTTATTTAAAGTTATATAAATATAAAACAACAACAATAAAACATTATTCCCATATGTAATGGGGTAAGGGGGAAGTAGGGTAGTAGGCTGTCCCCAAACGCCAGATTGAAAGCAGCTTCCGTAGAAGACCTCCGACAGTCAAAAAATTAAAATAAAGATAAAATACAATGCATGTTTAAATAAATAAATAAAATACGTAGTTGGACAATCTTCATATGCACGTCTGTAATGGGAAATAATCCCTGCAAATACACCCCTGAGTAAAAATATCTGTATATAAACAGAAAAGTAAGATCCAAAATTATAAAGAGGAAACATGAATAACAGTATACAAGGAATTTAACGATAGCATGCTTCAAGAATGGATAAAGTCAAATGGGTTAAAACCTAAAACTAAGGCAACACTACTCCGCTACCTTAGTTCTAGGCCTTCATTAATTCCAATGACAGAAACGTATAAAAAGTATAAGTAATGAAATTACTATAAAGGCATTAAAAGAAGACAAAGATGATACACCCAATGGATGTGACTCGCCCTACTCGGCTACCATGGTCTTAAGTCGCCATAATTTCCTATCAGATGTCATGTCCTCAGTAAGGGCTAAATCATTTAAATCAGATCTCAAGCAGTCTTCCCATTTCCGCCTTGGTCGACCTCTCCTTCTGGTACCGTCGACTGTAATCGACTTTACCCTCCTAACCGCATCCGATGGTTGTCGTCTTTGGACATGCCTAGACCACCGTAGTCTTCCCTCCCTCAATTTTTCGGATGCATGCACCACCCCCAAGGACATCCTAATAGCAGAGTTTGGTGTCATATCCCATAGAGTCCTACCACACACCCATCGAAGCATTCTCATTTCTGCGGCCTCCATCTTCCTTACGTGATCCTTCTTGATAGCCCAACATTATGATCCATACAGCAGCGCTGGTCTTATTGCCATTCTATAAAATTTCCCCTTAAGTTTTAGAGGTACCTTCTTGTCACACAAAACTCCAGTAGCAGCCATCCACTTTAGCCATCCCGCCTTTATACGGTGTGAAACTTCTTCATCTACACCCCCATCTTTACGTATCATAGACACTAGGTACTTGAAACAATCCTTTGAGGGGAGAACGTGTCCTTCTATGCATATTTCTACGTCTTCATCGTTTTGGTTCCCATTGAAGTTTGAACATAAATACTCTGTCTTTTCAATGTTGATCCTTAGTCCTTTTTCTTTCAAAGCTGTTTTCCAGGTAGACAGTCTACTATTCAGCTCAGTTTTTGATTCAGCCACTAAGACAATGTCGTCAGCGAAAAGCATACACCATGGAACACCGTCTGGTGTCGCACAATAAATGTCATTCATAATCAAAGCGAAGATGTAAGGGCTAAGAGCTGACCCTTGGTGGAGTCATCATTTTAAATAAATTCATCATTTTTTATCCCTCTATTAATTTAAATTTTTTCAAATTTTGTAAAACTTCAATCAAATACTCAAAGAAAAATAATTGAGTTAAAATTTTTGTTATCCAATCATTATAAAATTAAGTTATTATTTATATTCTCTCTCTTCACTTCTTTATTATTGAATTTGGAGTAAAATATTTCAGCATAAAAGAATAAAAAATCTAAAAAATTAGGTTAAAACTTTAGAAATAAAAGTTTCATTGATATTTTTATAAAATAAAAAAATAGTGTGGGTTTTTCATATATATATATATATATATATATATGGGATAAGGTCGTGTTACATAATGTAAAATTCTTTTAATTTTATATATATTTAAGACCATTGGATGAGTGAAAATAGATTACGTGGATTCTAACCCTATATATATATATATATTGAAAATGTCATGGGTCGAAAATAAAACCAATTCAAAAGTTTAGTTATGGAATTATAAAATTTTAAAAGTTATGTGGACAAAAATGAAACATGGGTAAAGTTGAGTGGAAAAAGTAGTTTACCCTATAACTAATTAATCAAGGATAAAAGGGTCAATACATTACAAATTTCTTCTAGGGTTTTCCCGCGAGCACAATATATAGTTAAACATTGAAGAATCCGACGTTAGGAGCGCCGTTTTTCTGCTTGGGTTAACGCAAAGTACTCTCTGAACTCTTCAATCGAAAATGGTAAAACTCATTCATCTCCTCAATTCTTTTCTTTGAATCTATGATTCTGTTCTTATTTTCATGCTCTTTTTCTTCCTTCATTACTCAACTTGTCTGCATTTGAATGCTTTGTTGTTTACCTTTCTGATTTTTTCCTCAATTGAGCTTCGGAGAAATTTGTATTAATATCATATAATCTATTGTCTTATTTTCTTCCGTGTTTTAATTATCTTTCTCGACAATGGATTTGTATGTATAATGAGAAGACTATTTCATATTATACTTGTTAGTGTCAATGAAGTGTGTTTGAAGCTGAACCGAAGTTGTGATATCTTTTCATGTTTCCTCTTTGTTGCATCATGCTAAGTGGTAGCGGTCTCAGTTCTAAAAAAATCGATTATTTTATTGTTAAGGAATGAATGGGTGCGCAGTTTTTGAATATTCGAGTTCATTTTGTTGAGTTGTTCGTTAGATTATGTTCATAGTACTAAATTATTGTCAATACTAAGTGTAACTATGCAATGTAACGCATTTCATGGTCACCAAGACATTGCAACCACATACCAAATTTAGAAACATAGTTATTTTAGGAATCAAATCATACTGTGACATCCGCAAATGCAACACCACACCTGTGACTGAGACTACAATTTAGTACTATGCTTATGTTAGTCGTAAAGTGATGTTATGATCCATTGATATTCACAGTAATTGATCTGTTACTTTCCTTGTTCCTGTCTAAATGAATGTTTTCCATTTTTATTTACAGCCTAAGCAGATTCATGAGATCAAGGACTTCCTTCTCACTGCCAGAAGGAAGGATGCACGCTCCGTAAAGATCAAGAAGAGCAAAGATGTTGTCAAGTTCAAGGTCCGCTGCTCCAAGTACTTGTACACACTTTGCGTGTCCGATGCAGAGAAGGCTGATAAGTTGAAGCAGTCTCTTCCTCCAGGTACATTGATATAATGTGACTGCCTTATTTTTTTCTCGTTCTTTATTCAACCAATACCCGTTTTGAATTGAACAAAGCATATTATAGAATCATAGATCCTTAGCAGAACCGAACTGTTGTTATTAATGCTTCCATATAAGCAGGATATAATTGACCCTACTGTTTTTTCTTACAATGTTGGTAAAATATCTTAAGGTTCTGGTTTTGAGCATGATGGAGCAGTGTCATTTTTCTTGTTTTGATTCAACCGGCTTCCTTATTTGAAATCAATATACATATTATAGAATCGTAGAACCCTAAAAAAGTTAACCATTTTCCCGTCTTAGTCATACCGGCAGCATTACAATTGATCCTACTGTTTCTTTCTTACCATTTTGGTAATATCTCAAGCTTCTTGACCGGGAAAATGGAGGAGGAGCCTTGTTTTTCTTATTTTGATTCAACCAAAATCCTTATTTGAAATGAGCAGTCATATTATAGGCATATTTCCGTAGCTTAAACAAATCATTCCCATCGCGGTCGAACTGGTAGCATTTAAATTGATCTTACTCTTTGCTTCTTTCAAGTTGGTGGAGTCTTGTTTCTTCGTTTTGATTGAATGAGATCCTTATTTGAAATGAATGGCATAAATGTAGCCAGTTGCTCTCATTGTTGCCACGACGGTGGCATTACAATTGAGCTTACTATTTGTGGCCATGCTGGTAACATTTCAAGGTCCTTGGTCTTAACTTTTTTCTCTCGATTCTTTTCATGTTTGCAGGTTTGAGTGTTCAAGACCTGTGAAAATATGACTGCCCCAAGTTTGTCACCGGATCTATAGGCGAAGAAAACTAGATTCTAGTTTTTCTTGTATTTGATTTGGTTTTGCTGATTCAGATATTTCAGATTTTGATAATTTGTGGATTCAGATGTTAAAGTTATTATCCGTTGTTGATTCTGAATGGATAGATTTACGCTTGGATATTTATTATTCAAATCCATATTACTTATACGGATGTAGATTGTTGTAATATGTGTGTGTTTTGGTTTGTTTATTCACCAGCATTGCAGACATCATGCATAGGTTGAAGATGATAAGACTATTATACCTCGAAGTTCACTGATTGAGGTGAACCAAGTAACGGAAACGTCGATTGACATCACACCTCAGCGTCCAAATTCCATCATCTTCGGTCGTACCTCTCGCTGCAAGATTGTCTCAATGAAGGCTCCATTGTTTGCAATACGCAGAAGATAAAAATCACGTGGAGATTAAAATTTTCAACCACCTTACATAAAACTCGTTACAAACTAAATTGTTAGTTCTATTCATGAGTTTGGTACTTGGATCGTCTAAAAATATACATATATATAATATTTTAATAGTTTTGGATCATATAAAAAATTAGTTATGCGAAATAATAGAGGAGAGTCAAAGGTCTAAATTGTACAACTTGGATTCACTGAACTTGCAAGTATTTGACAGCAAAATCTGAGCTAAAAAGATAGAACTGCGACGTACCACCTTTGACAAATCATTCGTAACTTCGACGTTTGAACTTTGTACTATTATTCTCACTGCGGACAAAAACCTCGACGTTATACAAAAGTCTACCTTCTTTGGATTATTTGCAAATCAATTTGCCATACAAATTAAATCTTTTAGATATTATTGATCAAATTATAGTTTTGAAAGTCAATAAATAAATATGTAAAATTTAGAGACGGAACTAGAATATCAACTCATAAAATAAAGTATGATTAAATATGATAAAATAATAATTTGTGTACTTCCTCTCCTAATAACGCCTGTTAGTTAATTAATATATTATCTATGATAATAAGATTAAGTCAAATGCAATAATTTACAACTTTATCCTTTTGTAAATGTATTGGTTGATACTGTTATTATTTGTTGTAGTTGTAAAAAAAATATTAACAAAATGCTTTATAATAACAGCTCATTTAATTTATAAAGTTGGTAGAAATCTTTTGAGTAGGAAATGCGCTTTGATATTTTTTTATTAATTATTAATTATTAATTAAAATCTTAACTAACATGGAATCTTTTGCTTGAAGATTGCTTATTAAATAATGATTCGTGTAGAAACTAACCATAAATTTGTTGCTTTATCTTTGTTAACTTTAAGTCAACTAATACTAATTAGTACTCCTTACTCTTTAGTACATATTTTTAGGGTTTTAAATATTAAGTTGCTTTGTTCTTTTCGTTTTATTCCCTAATTTTGAACAATTTTCCAATAAAAATCAGAAAATAGTTCATGGTAAATTACAAATTTTATCACTCAGTTTTAATCTCACCCCTGATTTGGTCACTAATTTAAAAAAAAATTGATCATTGAACTTTCGAATTGCTCAAATTTTGGTCACTCCGTAGTTAAATACTTAATGCCGTTATGAATGGACATTTTATCTTTTAAAAATATAAAATACCCTATAATTCTCTTCATTTTTTTTATTGAAAACCCATAATTTTTTTTATTTATCGATGATGGATATTTTATTCCAAAGCTTAACAGTGTGAAGGTGTAGAAGGAGAGGCAAGCTATATATCTCAATTTTACATTGGTTAGATAATGAAGAATGTAGATCATACTGGTTTTGGGGTTTAGTTTTGACAATTTTAAATAGATTTGAAAAAATCTAAACGGATAGAATGATAGGAGATGATGAGTGGTCATAATCAATACTAGAGAAATATGATTTTAGCATGACAAAAGTATGAAATTGTAAAAGTTTCATCTTTAAAGGAACAAATTAAAATAATAAAAAAGAAAGAATGAGGTGGACTATACATGGCGGCCATGTCAGTAAAAAGCAATGGATGTCAACTAAAAGGGGCACGTCACTTTGATGTATATGGTTTTTATAAGCAAGTGATCAAAATAAGAGTTTGTCAAAATTTTAGTGATAAAATTGAAATTGAAAATTTTTAAATTTAATAACCAAAACAAGAATAAGAATAAAGTTAAGTGATTGAAAGTGTAGTTTATCTAATAGTTAATTAAGTCGATAGTCTTTGTGTCGGCCAACGATTAGGAACGGGCAACAATTAGAATGAAAGGGGGAAAAAAGTGAATTTTAGTGCTCTTTTCAAGTGAAATCTAATTGGTGAATGAAATAAATGTTATTCCTCTTCAATCGTTTCAAACATTTAGAAGTTATAAATATAATTACAATTAATATATTTAAAAGTATCATTAAAATCAATCATAAGAAGAATCATTTTTTATAAAAATCCTACATTAAATCGATCATTGAATTTTTAAATCAAAATATGATATGTATTGATAGATAATAATATTTAATTTGAACTAAACAATATTAATTGAATAATTCGTAGATAAAAATAAATTTATCAATTTTAATTTATATTTCAAAAAAATATAAGTATCTAATACGATGTCATACCGTCTAAGAAAATTATCGAAAAGGACCATAATAATTTGTGGATAATAACGATACCGACCGCTACGCATATATGCCATCGAGACGTACCAAAATTAATATTAATTTGAACCGTTAATAATGTATCATTATATATATATATATATATATATATATATATATATATATATATATATATATATATATATATATATTAGAATATTGACTTTATAATGTTTTTAAAAGTCATTGAAAGATGCTTCTAACTTAATTCTTTTTATTATTGTTATTTTTAAGCTGACTTAGTACCACTTTGTTGTACAATAATTTTTCTTGTTGCTTTCCCTCGTTCTTGCTTTTATTGGGCTGTTATGTGCTATCTCTTGCTTTTTTTTATTATCTGAATTATTATTTTTATCATTATGTAACATTTATATATTTATAACTAAATTAGAAATATTAATTTATATATTACAGTAAAATTTAAAATTTTAAAATCATTTGTAAATAATTTATTAGTAAATTAATTTAAATATAATACTTTAATAAGAGGATAATCTTTTTAACTTAGTTTTTACCTTCGATCTTACTTACATGATTTAATGTCTCGCTAGACTAACTAATATTTGATATCAATTTTTTTTATTTTAATTGCATAATATTCAGTCTAGTGATTGTATAATAATAAATTTACACCATACTTAAATAGATTTTCAGTTTTATATAATAGAATATTATATATTTAAACATGTTTAAATTTATTTTTTTAGTTTATATTTTATTTGGAATATTCGTACTTTCCTTTTTGGATTGTTTTCTAATAGGTCCATTTTTGTACACATAACCAGACATATGGTCTGCTACTTTAAGTCATTATATTTGATTGGTCATGTTCCATTAAAAGAAATGTGAATAGCATTAAAAGGCAGAAAATAAAATAAATTTGAAAAATAAAAAATGTAATTATCATGATAAATTTTAAAATAATGAATAAATGAATAAACTCTTTAATTATTTCATATTTTTAACCAATCAAATGTTAAATCATCCAAGATTTTGATCGACACAAACCTAATTTGATTAGTATACTCCTTCACAGGTTATTTGGTTTGATCTAAGTTTAGGGAACCTTTATTCAATAAAAAATAATGCATATAATTTTTATTCGATAATATAATAATTTAATTAATATATATGAAGTATTATTATAATTATCTTTAAATATATAAAATATATTTAAATTATTATTTTAGATCGAGTACGATATTTTTCACCCTAAATCCTAAACTGACTTGACTGACTCAACATTATTCTTTAAAAACTCCAACCCAAATCTATATTTTTAATTAAAAAATCCAACTCTATAAGAAGACTCAATCTCATACATATACTCAATTATTATATAAATTCATTACGAAAACGTTCTTATTAATTTAATTTATTTTTTATAATATTAAATTATGAACTATACATTGTCTAAAAATAATTTATTATGATATAAGTTAAATATTTACCTTTAAATCAATCTAAACACAAAAAGAATAGCTTTCTTTCTTTTATTACTTACCCATTTCAACCAATGAAAAACAAAACAAAATTCGCGTAAATATTATCCAGAAATCAATAAAATATTAAAAAGTTGAACCTTTTCTTTTTTTATTTATTTATTTCTATTTAACCAATGAAAATAATAATACTAAAAGTATGGGGAATATCAATTATATTGGGTATGTGACATTTTCTTGAAGGTAGCCGACAAAGCCATTTGCATGGTTTCTAACACCCCCAATTGCGTTGCACATGCAACCATTTGCATACATAAATAAAATAACATTATTTTTTATTTATTTCTAGTTAGATCGAATCGAATTTTAACTCATAAAATTAAATTCAGATGAAAAATCATCAAATGTTAGATTAAATATAACTTTTCTAATTAAGTTCGGATCTATAAATATGATTTCACCCATGACCAGGCCTACGTGGATCCCTATTTCTAACACCTCATTGCATTGCACATGCAACCGTTTGCATACGTAGATAAAAATAACAACAATAATAATAATAATGATAATTTACTCTTAAATATTATAAAAATCAACAATATTCAGACATGTAAAAATTAAATAAAATATCCGCGAATATCCAAATTCTTTAAGTAAGATTTAGACTTCAAGTATTATGGATAAAAATAGAAAATGTTTGAAGAATTTTGCCATGATCAAATTTTCATATGGTTGAGACTTAAATGATTATTGAATATTAGAATATTTTAAATATAAGAATATAGGTAAGTTCAATAATACTAATAATGATATTATAAACGAAAAAATTAGATTAAAATAATTGTATTTACAATAAAATTTTGTGATATTTTTTTAGATTATTTTGATATTTTAATAGTATTTTTATGACTAATAATTTTCAAAGATTTAAATGTAGTTTTTTTATGTAAATACCGAAACAGTTCACCTCATTGAAAAACTGAAATATTAATTAAAATAATTTGTACTTCGTCTCTGTCTCTCAGGAAAAAAAAAAACATTTCTTTGTCCTAAAATTTCTTTTGTTTGCCTATGAACTGCTCAATTCTTAAAGCTAAGCTGTA